CAGTGTGTTTAACTTCTCCATATTCAAGAAAGCCAAACAGCGTCACATTTTAATCCAACCTAACCCTAACTGCTCTCATGAAGCTGTAGACGATGAGCAGACGGGGCAGAGCAAACCACCCCGAGGGGTAAACATGGTTGGATTTCCCCAAGAACAGAATGTGTTGTCTGAATTCTAAACAATCTGATTTACTGGTGCCCTAAATCTGATTTTCTGGTGCTCTAATCCAGCCGGTATGTATTATGCAGCATGATGAATTTAAATTTCTGTTCAACATTTTTTTAACCATAAATACAGGTTCATATGCAGCAAATTTAGCTAATTTCTTATTTGTAAACTACAGTGCAGCACATCGCCTACAGGTTTACTTTGTCACTGAGGGTTGCGTTCCAGCAACCATTATGGACCTTTTATGAACAAATGTGACCTATTATACACTATTTTTTTCTCATTTTGATGAAACACTTCATTGGGGGTCCAGGCTTTCCTTCCTTGATCTTTTATGCCATCCACCTGCATGCTGGACACTGCCTGCAAGCTTGATATGCAGCACAGCACACAACTACTAAAAATGAAGGCCATTTTTTTTTGTTCTGTAGCCATGCCAAAAAGACATTGTCTTGCCTGGAGAAATCTACTTTGTATGAACCACAAAGAACTCAGTGGCTGGAATTTATTTGTACCACGGTTCCCTCCACTGTTCCAAACATTTTAGAGAGTGTTTCCCCATGTAACCTTATCCTTACCCTAACCACCAAAGGAGGGTGCTATAGGAAACACAGTTGTAATGGGAGGGAAACACTATTTGAATGGGGAACAGACAACACCAGTACCTCAAGGACTACTTCACAACTACAACTACAATTTGACACTGGATTTTCGCAATGTTGCCCAGAGGGAGACTCAGGCTCACAACCTGTTCTGCTTTATTTTTTTGGGATTTGTGATGTTTATAACCGCGTCAACGGCGACCTGATCCCATTAGGGCAAAGCAGCTTAGCAACATGCTCAAAGATATAAATGCTTTAACATTTGTCAATATTGACATGCTGTAGGCTACCTCCTTAGCTTGGATAAATTACCCACAATTTAACCATTCACTTAATTTTTCAGTAACTATGAGCAGAAGGAGAATTCATTCAGATTTACCAGCACTGTAAACCAGCTGTGGTGACTTCCCACCTTTGAAGCGGAGGTGAAGTCTGATTGTCTGTCCATTCCTCCATTATTTATATTCCTTTAGTCCGTAAGTGTCCACACATCAAAAAAAAAAAAAATCAAAAGGGTTTTTCATAAAAGTATTTGAAGTTATGATTATTGTCATGTGAAGTCCATTACAGACTGTCAAGCAACTTTATTGAGCGACTTTAGTTGCAGTACTTCTCCTTCCCTCCCTCCTTCCACCTGCCCGGCAGTGGGTGTACTTGTTTTCCTGCTCCAGTGCAGCTTGCGAAGGTGGATCGGATCTATGATCTTCCCATTCAAGATCGGACCATGGATGTATTATTAGAGCAGGATGCCGGATCAAAAATGGCGCTGATTCACTTATATACGAATTGTTCGCTTGGTGCTGTGGATGTATGCTCAAACTGATAAGCCGGAACTGATACCATTGTAACAGCCACAACCATTTGTCCACAGCTGAGCTAGAAAGCAAGACATGGGTGGAACTTGAAGTTTCCGCTGGCAAATTGACCAATCAGAGCCCAGAGTGGAGAGAGGGGCCTTAATGAGCCCAGAGATCTAACAAAGCCTTTCAGACAGAGAATCCTCAGAGGAGTACAGCAATAGAAGATGTACAGTATAAGAAAAATGTCTTTTTGGAGCATTGAAGCATGTAAATCTATTTTAGTAGACATCAATAATAAAATGATTACATGTTCTATTTAATTTTCTTTATATTCAGTCATCTTTATATTTATATGCAGTTACTTTGGGTTCTAAATCCTCAAACCAAGCCTGAAATACACATTTTATTTTGCCAGAGAATTGTAATTATTTTTGGAGATTAAATGCCTCTTCTTACACTGGCTTCTCAGATCACAGCTGATCATCCTGTTTATGTTTACTGTGCCAGCCTTGCACTTGCTTGTTCAGCCTGTGTTTGACGATTTTCATGTTCTTTCCAGTTTTATCTTGGCTTGTCCTACCAGATTTGTTCATTGGGGTTGCAGATGAAACTCTTTTGATTTAGTTATACAAATAAAGTTGAATAGAACAGAGCAGAAACTTTATTGTCCAAACTTGGAAATTTAAACAGACAGTACACAGAAGCTATAGACTGATCAGCATATGCTGATGAAGTAGCTACAAATATTTGGAAAAGGAATTTTGCAAGAAAGTGGCAGATGATGTGACACATTTCCTTAAAGAGAAATTTAACACCTGTCCTGTTGAAAATTGTTTACCTTCCCACAGTGCAGCTGTAGTGATCTACAAGTGTACTTCAGGACCATGTGACATCACTGTTAGGTGTGGTCAAAGGGACAGCAGAGCACACCTTGGACCACACCCATATGTGTGGTCAGAACAGACTTTTAATCAGAAAGTGCAGCCAAACACCAGCTTTCAGCACGATGTGAAGTTACTCATTAAAGTATTTTGAGGATATTCTGGACATATGGTATTCTAAATGAGTTGATGTGGGCTTTGCTTTTTGTAGTTTTAAGTCTACCTTTGTGCGTAGTCCACTGTCATTGTATGCTGTAGAAGCATAGGATGTGAAAAGGCAAGATATTTTCCATGTTCTTAAAAGTTTTACTCATTCCATAGCTGTAAAACTAACTTTCTATCTAATAAAGTACCTAAACATTTAAAGGACCAGTGTGTACACATGTACACATACACAGTATGAAATTTATGATTATGATATAATTTGTGTATAATCGCCTGAAGCTAATAATCATTGTGTATTAGCTTAGAATGAGCTTTTCATGTCTACATAGGTCGAAACATGGTGGCGCAACATGGCTGTCTTCCACCGAGCCCGCAATGTTGCGCCACCATGTTTCTACAGTAGCTCAGAATGGACAAACCAAACACTGGCTTTAGAGAGGGCCTTTTGCATTTTAACGTTGCCTGAGAGACGCCATAGGTTCTCCTACACACTTAGAAAGGGAGGGGAATCCATTTCATTGCAATCTGCAACCTCACCGCTAGATGCCACTAACTCCTACACAGAGGTCCTTCAAAAAAGTATTCCACTCTCCTGTCCACAGTCACTGGAGGTACAATAAGGGGAGGGAGCTCTTCTGACTGATACTCATCCCTTTGTCTTGCTGGTATTAATGACCACAGTGCTGATATGACACCAGCTAATCAACTCTTTCTTATGATGGTAATATCTCACCTCTCTATACAATCTGTAGTTTACTTGTTTACATGGATAACAAAGGCACTGGAGGGCACGTATGTTTATTTCCTACTTAGACACAGTGCCTTCAAAGCTTCATGAGGCCTCCCTTATTAATAAAAAACATCTCCTCGCTCCCTGATTGGGTCACCTTTGAAATAATAAATATTCCGCTGTTGATTCATCACCTTATCTTTTGACAAAAATCACTCAGTCACTGGTTTCATTAGATGATTTCTTGAATTCTGCAGCCTGTAGTGAGCAGGGCTTTTAACAGAGCCTATTAGACATTCCTCATGAAATATTGCACAATTCCTACCGAACACACTACAAGTTATGCAACTACTCTGGAGCAAAATCAAATGGCAGCAAGTGACTGAAAAAGCTTTAATTTCTTCAGAAACATTCAGCAACTGCTTAGTCTGTATTTTGTCTGGCATATCCAGCTTGTCATAGGGTTCATATAGATGCAATAATGAGTTGCCACCTGCAGGCATGTGGAGGTGGTGCTTTGCTTTGGACAGTGGTGGCTTTGTAGCAGAGTCCAGACAAACCCTTTAAAAATCAAACCCCCACCTCCCCTTGTCCACCCCCGCATGGAAACAGTGAATAAATAACATGCTGGCGTGTTCAGCTTGCTCTGACTGGCGGGATAAACACTCAGTTGACTGTTTAATGTCTTTCTGGACTCTGTAGGCAGCAATTGCGCTTCCAGAGTGCCATATACAACCTCGACCTTCTTCTCTGTTCCACCCCTCCAGCCACCTGTATTCTCTTCTTCCTCCCCCTCCACCTCCTCTACCACCACTGCGCATATCTCCTTCATTCCAGCCCATGCCAAAGCTCAACTCTGCCCAGAGGCCAAATCCACTGCTCTCCTACTGTCCAAATCCCTCTGCCATGTGAGTGAAATAACAGCAAGGCCCTGAAAATAGAGCACTGGAACTGCCCTTTTCTTTCTACTCCCTTTATATTGCTATCAACAATCTGCCTCCGCTCTCCTTCCCCCTACATCCACCATTCTCTGTCTATTTTTCATTTAAAGATCGTTATGTCCCACCCCCCTCCCCACCCCTCAAGTATCTCATGAGATTTATTCAAGCTGTTTGCAGGTTAAAAACATTCTAATGGGACTTCTCTCTGTTATTGATGAATCTCTGCAGGACGGCAGACAAATGGACAGCCTGAGCATTTCACTGTGACTGTGACGGGGCTTTCATTGAAAATCACTGGCCGTAGCATCACGTATTTAACACCACCGAGCCTAATAAATCTAGTGATGTCAGTGGCATGGGCTTAGCTGCTGGATGCCCGTGTACATTCCCCCTGCATACTCCACGCATCTCTCTAACCCTTATCCCTCCTTGCACCCCCTGCTCCCTCCCTCTCTCAGCATAAATCTCTCATTCACAAATAGAGGCCAAAAGAGGCTCAGCTGATGTGATGAGATTATTATTTTTTTTTTCTGATTACAAATCAACCTCAGCTTAGATAGATCCCACCACCACCAACTCCGCCCCTTGCAACATCCTCTTTCCTCTCCTCCCCTTTTTGCTCTGGCCCCTCCCCCCTCCCCTAATATCTCCACCTTCCTTTGGCTCTCAGCCCCTCCCCTCCACCACCTCCCCACCCACTTCTCTCCCTCACAGCCAGATCTAAGGACGGACGTGCCTCATTCAACTCCTGCTGCACAGGTTGTGAGGGAGGGAGGAAATAGTGAGAGAGAGAGAGAGAGAGAGAGAAGGAGAGAGATAAAGGGACAACAGGAGAGGCAAAGGAGAATATTAGCAACAGCCAGAGAGGGACAGAGGACAGGTGGTGAGAAAAGAGAGTCAGCTCACTTTGATGTTTTGCTAAGAGAAGAAGTAGAAGGAGTCAGGGTGTGAAGGAGTGAGGCAGGAGAGAGAGGAGACAAGCTCTCAGGTGTGGGACTACCCAGCTGTGGGAGGTTCCTCCAGGGAAGGTATAGTGATCTTCGGCAGAGACCCCTCCACTCCACTGGGAGTCAGACCTCCACGATCCAGAGTCATGGAGCCCTCCGTGTCGACCGAGGCCGAGGGGGAGTCCAAGGAGAGGAAGAAGATCCACTTTGCTGTGCCGGCCTCCGCGCCCACCAACCTGGACCCTCGGCAAGTGGAGATGGTGAGCAGGCGGTGGACAGATTACTGTTTGACCCATGAGGAGAAATGAGGATTTAGTTTTAGCTTTTAGCTCTGACTTGCTTTTTTGTGTATGATAGAAATGTTTTACATCTTACATCTTTCATCTTACATCTTTCTTATTGACCAATTCACCAGTAAGTGACTGCCACCCACTCAAGGAAAGTGACTGCATTATAGTATGAAGTGTCGTACCATTACTGGCCTGATTTCTCCACTTCAGGACGCCTTTCTTCCTGCATCACTTTTTCTCTCTGCTTTGTTTCCTTTTTGACAAGTTTCTCATGCAGGGCTGGATTTTCTGGCTCTGTCTGCCACACAGTTGAGAAATTATGATGACATTTCCCTCCCTCTGTTTCCTCATGAGATTAGTGCCTTGCTGTCTCATCTTTGACCCGTTTAACAAAATGACATTGACATGAAAGTCACTATCTTGTGTTTGAAGCCTGATCCCTCTTTTGTAACGGCAGCAGCAACTACAAACTGTTGACATTTTGTTTGTCGTGTAATGGCCCTGTAATAATTACTTTTTTTTTTTTTTACCTCCCTGCATGTTAGTGACTTCTGTCATCTGATCTTTTTAGTAAGATCCTTCAATCCTGCTTTGCCACAGACGTGCCGGATAACGTTGCCTGTATCATTACGCACATTTTTTGGTGGGACAACTGTGATCTTTCTTTTTGGCTCTAATGTGGGTGGCTCTTATTTTAGAACAGGGGAAAGTGGGCCAAAGTAGGAAGCGTTTGGTGCCGAGGTAGATCGAGGCCAATGGCTCATCCCTCCTGAGAGCTTGAGGAGAGGTGGAGCGGGAAAGCAAGAGAGAGAGATGTGCTATATGAAGGAAAGCTGAGAGGGTAAAGATACACAACCTGATCTCTGGGTTCACCTGTCTGGGGTCAGCTCCCTCAGTGAATGTCCCTGTTTCACAGCTTGCATAAAAGAGGCTTTTAATGAACTAGAGCGGCCTGCAATCATGCTCCATCGTACCCTCTAACCGATCATCATCTCATAACAAGTTTGGTTGTAGATAGTGCTGAGAGAAGCGTTTCCTCCATGGTGGTGAAGAAAGTGTGATCATTTCACTTTATCGCAGGCAAATCTTGATGAATCAAGTGTGATGTTTCCTTTTTGTATCAACTTAAAGTAAATTTGTGTTACACAACAAGTTGCCTAATCTCATTTCTCTTTTGAGATTGAGTTATAGACTAAATTCAAATTTAAATGCTTAACACAAGACTTTCACTCCATATTTACACATTAATACTTGCTCTCCTCCGCCCCCTCTTATTCTCTCAATCTCTCATGTCCTGTCCGCATGATCTGATCTCTATCGTCTCTTCCAAGAAACTACAGGATATCAATCTACCATATGTGAGCTGTCCCCTCAATTTAAAAAAAAAAAGGTCTCTCACTTCCTTCTGGTTTGGGAAGGACCTTATTGCTCAATCACCTTATGGTCGCACAGTTATCAGCTATATATAGGCTTGTTGGCTGGCTCTCCTCCAGCGGGCCTTTACCTTCACATAGGCTAAAGCTTCTGCGTCAGCATCATTGTGATGTAGATGTTTCAAGAGCTTAAGCAATATAAAGTCTGCAGTTGATGACACTCAATTGTGAGAAATTAGTTGGGTGGATGTGAGTATGTGTGCAAGAGGGTGAATGCTGGAAACAAATGCGCTGAAGGGGGAGTATGGGAAACTGAATGGACGTTTAAAAAAGCAGATAGCATCTACCAGGGGCAGATGGGGGGCCTCCAGGGATGTGTGGGTGGGCAGGGATAACAGTTAAAGACACTCATTTCATTCCCCTCCCCTCCCCTCCCCATCCCACAGCAATTACTGTCGCCCACAAGTCCATCTTTGCTAATGATTCGCTAATGATTATACCATTCTTCCGAACTTATTACACAACTGGTAACTCCTTCATTACTGTTGTTTCCGATGGCATTTAAACTCCGAAAAAACCCGCTATCGACTGAAATGAACTGGGGCCTTGTTACTATGGAGACGAGCTGCACACAACTATGCCGCACAAAGCTCCCCCACCGTTGGCATCTAAAAGGTCAACTTTAATGGACACCTCTGTGTGACTGGGTAGGTTGTTTATATTGGTGCTGTTGCATGTTTGTAGATATGTATGCGTGGTGTTAATGTGAGACGCTTCCATGCCTCCCACACAGTGAAATATTGCATCCCGTGGGAGAAAACAGCCACTTATTTGTGCATCCTTCAAAGGTGTTAGATATTCTTGTTTGACACCTTTTACCTGTTTGTGACTGTTTACCCTAAAGGAATATATTCTCATTTACATGTCCACAGTGTCTCCTGTAAAAAATCCTTCTTATTTCCCCCTAGTGGTTTTTAGACTTACAGATGGTCTTAGTTTTATTTAGCCAAGTTTTGACACATTTGTATTTGTCTTCTTCAGTACATTGAAGAAAAAAATTCTAATTTCTGAACAGAAGCAAACTTTTCTCACTCCTCAGATTCGTGGGCCTCGCTGCCATATTACATCATCGTGTAAGCCCCTTCTTTCTGATTAGAGGTATTCTCTCAAAACCTAAAGTGCCTGTACTGGAATTGTTTAGACTCCAAAAAACTCACTTTATTTTTCTTTTCCGCTGCCATCCTTGGTGTCACCGGAGTATGTTATTGAAATCCTCCCAGGACAAACGACTTTTTAAGATTATCGTTCTTTAGTAATCTTCACGTTGAGCGGAGGTCAGGGGCAATGTTGTCATTGTCTACAACAACTCAGAGAAAGCACATGGTTGTGTTTACCATCCCTACCCCCCGCTCCACACGCACACCAAGTGACGTAGGGTAATGTGCATAATGGACAGAGATTAGGGTCATGGTGCAGACGCTACATCTCTGATTCCCTCCAAGTCTGCCTCCCTGTGGATTCACCAAGCAGACATCTCTCTATGTTTGTCCTCCTCTCAAATCATCCCGATCTGGTCGAGCTCATGACGAGCCTTAGAACTGACAGAAGACCAAAGAGAATATCAAAGGATGGTGAGGGGCATCAGTCCAACACTTCCACATTAATCTATGTTAAACCTATATGGGATATGGAGGGTGTGATTTAGGTTTCCCCGCCCTGCCCACCATCCCCACCCTATCCTTCACCCTCCTCACCACAACCCACCCCACTGCAACCTTCCCTGTCCTCCCCAGTCCAGTCTCTGAGTTAAACATCAAACAGCGACCTTTGATGCGGCGCGTGTTTGTGGGTAAACATTAGCAGTCTGGGGGACTGTCAACATGCACTCCCAGAAAGGACATCTTGTTGGATGGCACAAAGCATGCTGGGACTGGGCAAGAGGGCGCAGTGATCTTTCCCTGCATGGGGACAATCGGGAATGTCACTGTAGTAGTCTGACTCAGTTTGCCCAGTGACGTGACCTGTCAGGTCTTTATGAAAATGAGTTTTAAATGTTCCCAAAGTTGCTTGCCCAAAGCAGTTTGTTGATGTTTCTAAAAAGAAAAAGAAAGAAAAAAACGAATTGGGAAAGAAATTATTTAAAAAAGATGAATTGCCTTGCTGGAAACCACAGATTGTAATTGCAGTTTGGACACAATCAATGGGTCTCTGTCTTCTGTAGTTTTGTTTATGTGTTTTTTTTGACAGTGCAGGCATTTTGTTTAGTTAATGACTCTGGAACAACATGTTCACGGCCTGTATCTGTTTGACACAAAGTTTCCTTTCATGCCCCCTTTTTGCACTTTGTTTTAGCAGTGCAATGCAAGAAATCCCCTTTAATCATTTGTGTTTTATTCACAAAAACATGTCATTTTAATGATGATACTAACTGGACAGTCTGTCATCTTCTCTTGGCTCGTGTGTGCGTGGACGTGTGTGATGTGTAAACAGCACAAAAACACAAATATTGAGCATGGGTAGAGTGATTTGTCGCCTGATGACAGTATACACAGTGAGTTGCCATAATGTCCTTTGCACCTCAGGCGCCGCCCAAGCACGCTACGAAACTTGACTGAGGGCCCGTGACACTGCAACATGCCCCCTTAGCCTTTCAGCGCCATGGTCAACAAATCCTCTTTCGTCAGTTGGTGTCATTAGTTACTCGCTTGTCGCTTCAGGGATCATCGTTAATCAAACCAAGTCAGGCCTGATTAGAGTATATGAAGAGATACATCCCCCCTAATGTACACTCATTCTTTTCTATCCACATTTTTTCCCCTGTCTGTTATCGTGCAGAGAGATCATAGTGTATCTGAAGCGCTTCATCTTTTAACCCCAGCCATAGCAACAACAACAGCAGCAGCCATATCCGTGATGAGAGGAGAGGCAGAGGATTAGAGGGGCAGCAGTGGGATGACGGGGAGGGAAATGGGGGATGGACAGGAGCTGGACCTGACTTTTCAGACTTTTCAACTGACCTAAACACTGAACTGCACCTCCGAGCCCCCCCCCCCCCCCGAAGCCTGGAGCCCCCTTCCCCTCGTCACACAGGATGATCACACTGATGCAGGCATATTGAGAGGAGACACTGAGGTGTGACAAATGTTTCAGCACCGAAAAGACATGGCATTATTATGTTACTGCTGCTGCGCCTATTGTAATTTCTGATTTTTGTCACAGTGGTTGACAGTGTGTTTTTTTTTTTTTTTCATTTTTGTCCGGCTGAAACTTAATGAGCTTGCACTGGGGGCACACCGGGTCATCTTCAACATGTTCCTGAGGGAATGGCTCAAAGCAGAAACAAGGTTATGTAGAAATATTCCAGGAACAAATGGCTTGTCTGTCTCAGATGCATTTTTTAAATATTATTTACGCAACCACATGAGAAATTAAGGCTTTTTTAGAATTAACCATTTCAACCTAGTGCTGATAAATCTTGGTTATAATCTTAGCTGAGTTTATAAATACCATTTGCATCCAAGCACTGAGCTGGAAGCTGCACAGCAACCATCAACAGTAGCCCTTTTTTTGTTTCATTTATCACCTGTTGGTACATAT